GTGTGGGAGGAAGCCGGAGAACCCGGAGAGAACCCACGCTGCACGGGGAGAACATGGAGACTCCACGCAGAAAGATCTCAGGTGTCCTCACCAAAATACAAATGAGCGACCTTCGCTAACCACCACTCCACCTTGCAACCCCAGTGACAACCATTAGCATGCTAATATGTCATAATTAGCACAAAACACACAGGTTGTGCTTACATGTGTGCCAGATGTGCTGTTTATGTAATTAAATGACTCGTTACCTGTATGGCTGTAGATGCACCACAGCCCCCCCATCAGACTGACACCCATCACAAAGGCTGCGAAGACGATTCCCATCACTGGTCCGATCTGCACCACAGAGCCTGGAGACACAGCGTGACATCGATTAGAGTGAAACATGATAAAATGACTGAATGAATAAACGATACTCACTGCTGTGCTGCGGGTCTGGACCGGCCACTGGAACAACGCTTAGTCTTTTGGTTCTTGGACCGGCAGGAGGCTGCATTTTGTGGATCAGTGAACTCATAGACTGGGTGACCACCATGGGTCTGGAGAGGTTTCTGATCTCACACTGAGATGGGAACACAGGAGGAGGTCTTCAGTTAGACTGTTGCAGTGACATGACACCAGCATTGACAAAAGGCCTTTTTCTGCATTTGTTTTGTGTTATGAAACGTACGTATTGTTTTATTTCTTCACCTGATGTTTTGATGGTTTAGATACTAGCGGAGGGATATGCAGTCTGCCCTGACAGTCTTTCTTCACTGTTTCCTTCGTTGGTTTCCCTCTCGTTGGATCAGAGACACAAACTCGAAGGCTGCAGTGGAGGAACTGAATCGAGTTGTTATAAACCGGCCGCAGGATGAAACTAAACCTTAAGGGCTGTATCTCCTCCTCTGCTCCCATCCTTGCGGTCTTCTTGCGAATCATTGCTTCTCTACCTCTTCTTTCAGTTGTGTGATGAACTGTTTCCGGTTTCTCTGTCTCTTCCTCCTCCTCTAGGTCACCATCACCTTCCTCCTCTTCATCTTTTGTCTTTGCATGGAGGGTCAGTGAGGAGTCTGAGGAACAGCCGTCACTTATTACAGCCCAGAAAGGAGATTTTTTGGGGTCTGACAGAGGAGATATGACACATGAGTTCACCTGAGCGACATCTGCGAGGGGCCCTTTGGCTGAAATCTGTAGTCGAACACATACAAACTGAACTTAGAAACTAAATCCATGAAGCTGTGAAGTCTTGGATAATAAGATATTGTGCATGAATGTGACAAACAGAGGTACACGAACCTCGACGTAGACACGGTGGTCTGCAGTGACGACACAGGGGCCGACTCGCGTCTGCTCGTAGCTCTCATTAATAAAAAGCTCTAAAACAAGAACAGGCCCAGACCTGTGTCTTGGTGTTGGGAGGTGGCTCAGGTCTGGATCAGATCCTGGACCTCTGGGTACCCAGGGGACCAGTCCTGACTGAGGAGTGTTCACACTATCTTCAGCATCAGCGGCAGGGCTGGAGGGGTTGGGAGCAGCAGCCCAACAGCTAATCTGAGAGAGAAAAACAGGAAATTACAGGTAAAAAACACGGAAAAGAAAATGGAGAGCGTAGAATAGACAGAGACACACAGATATCTCACATGTATCTTGAGTGGACTTTTAGACTTGTCTGTCTCATTGGGTGTCAGAATGGTCTGTGGTTTGTGTCTCCATAACAACACCTGGTCAGAGAGGACAAAGAAGGAAACACAAGTCATTTATAAGCCTTATTTTCTCACAGTACTCTCACCCTAAGCAGCATAAAGTATACTTGTGAGTGACCAACAGGAGATTACAGGTTAAAAATTACATGAAAATTCCCAAATAGGTGTATCAGTGCCATTACTAAAGCCTCATCCTCCATAGTAGGTGTCACCTGTGGTGTGCCGCAAGGCTCATGTTTAGGTCCCCTACTGTTTTCTGTTTGCATGCCTCCTTTAGGGACATAACTTGATCTGCATGACATGTGCAAGGGAGCTTTGACAAACAGTAATAGTAGAAACTTTCATCAACTGTCTTGACAAGATGAAGTGTTAGATGTCCAAGAAGATGACAGTCCTCTGAACTCCCCTCAGCTTATCTGTATTAACCTCGACAGGCTGTTTGAAAAATCAGATTCATTTTTCTGGCATTTTGTCTTTATTATAAAGCATCAGTGGAGGTACAGATGGAAAATGAGGAGTGGAAAGTAATCAAATGCATTTACTTAACCACTGTGCTTAAGAACAGCTCTTGTTTGATGTACTTGTACTTTATCTGAACTACATTTCAGAAGGAAATATTGTGCTTTCTAGACCATCTCATTTGTGTGACAGCTCTACTTTAAAGATGAGGATCTGACACAATTAGAAATACAAAAAGCTTTTACAATACATCACATTATTAAAGAATGAACCAGTGGTTTCTAACCTTGTTGGCTTCTATAAAAATCAGCGTGTAGCTCCACCAACGATGGATTTTTCTTTCTATCTTGTACACATTTTTAATTCAGTGTTGCGACACATGCACCTCATGCCTTTGTTGTTTTTCTTCCTTCCAATTTTCTGGTCTGCGTCTGGGCAGAGATTTTCTCTCCCTTAATTTGCTTCTGTGCAAAGATCTATTTTTAGGCTTTAATTCGGCAGCGTTCTGGTCGTGATGACCCGGGTCACGCGTCTCACCAGGACAACTTCCACTTACTACAATTTCAAGTGTTCGTTGTTGCACCACATGTTTTTGTTTTGACCGCTGTCTGATAGACTCTGACCTCATCACAGATTCTGATATTTCCCTCGACATGCGCCAAGAGTTTCTCATCCTCTTTCTGGTGTTCATCTGTGTGTGTGTGTGTGTTGGTCAGTATGAACAGCAGTAAATCCACCACAATCCAGAACTTTACAAAACTCCCGTAATCCAGTTTCATTTGAATGATAAGAATCAGTTATAAGATGAAGAAAGCAATATGTAGGATTTCAGAAACAATCAAAGCAAAAACAAACAAAAAAAACCCTCCTGTGGTCCTGAAGACTTCTCTCACCACGTTGGTGTACTGCACCCCTCGGGGCTCTCCCAGCAGCAGGCCCTCGGTCCCACAGGAAATCACTGGGAACACTAACAGGAAATGGCTCCCGTTGGACTGAGCCTGGCATGTCAGGTCCTGCAGAGTCACAGCAGCCACCGGGACGGACAAGTTCTAAAGGAGAGAGCACTAAGATGAGGCCATGGAACATGTAAGAACCAGATTAAACGGTCCGATACAGCAGACTACATGTCATAACAGTGCAACTCCAGCAGCGTGACATTAAACCCACTGATGAGTCAAGTGCAACACTGATCATGTTGCTGCAATGCGATGTTCTGCTGGTAAACCTGGTTCTGGTGTCAGGCATCCTATTAGGCAGGTGGTTTTAATGTTGTGGCTAAACGGTGTACGATGATCAACCAAACAGTTCCTCAACTGACATCTTGAATTGAAGACAAATTGCTTTTGCTGCTGTTTTTCTTAAACCTACATTAATTGATTTTTAAGCCACTTCCATGTGAAGTTGTGATACATGAAAGGAGCAGCATTCACAGTCAAAGTACTCCAAAATTAAGTTGTTTTGATTTGTTTAGCCCCTGAGAAAGCATCAATCTAACCGCGTTATGTTCCAATAGGTTAGCAGTTTAATGCTGGACAGGTAGCATACAATTAGCATTGTTATGATTTGATATACTGCCTGATGCTGGATGAAACATTGTCATACATTTGCTGTGTTGACAATGATAAGGTGGGAATCCGGCTTCTTTCTTTTTCGTTTGCACTCTATCTACCACTGAGGTATGAAGACCTGCAGGATGCGCTGGTCCACCGCCACGCTGAGCTGTCCGTCCTCACACTTCACCGGGAAGCTCTCCAGGCCTCCTCCTCCTCCTCTTGCTCTGCCTCCACCGTTCAGCCCCTGCCTCAGCCGGCGCTCCTCCATCCAGGAAGGCCTCAGCAGCAGAGGGTTTACTGCTGCAGCCTCCTCTGAGATACAGACAGAGAGGCAGAGATGTTAAACCCTCACACTACAAACCCTTCCTTCAACGTATACGGAGCAGGAGATACTCTGCTTTCATGTCCTCACGAGGGAAACATAAAAAACTGTTCAGTCCACTCACACAGCGACGGAAACAAGAGACACACAGGAGTCCTGACCTGCACCGCCCTCAGCCAGCCGGATCACAAAGCGGTTGGCCAGATCGGCCTCGGTGTACGAGGTCACCGCGGGGTAGCCGCTCTCAGCAGCCCACACCAGGAGGTCGGTGATGGTGGAGAGGTCGGCGTTGAGGGTGCTGGACACGGTGAGGCCGGGCTCAGGTGGGTAGGACGGAGAGACGCTGTTGGAGGCCTGTGGGAAGAGACAGTTTCCTGTGTGGAAATGTGCTTTGTTTGATTTAGAAGTATGCAAGAACACAATGCCAAACAAAATACAGCAGCTTTTGAATGAAAATGAACCAAATTCTGAAACTGACATCTGGAAACTCGATCCCTTACGTGAACGGTGATGCGACCCCGGACACCGGGAGCAACGATGGCCCAGTTGACCGGCACCGAGCTGCTCAGAATCAACACAACCTTGTGCGACTTTGAAGCGGCCACCGGAGGCACGAGAGAGACGGTCGCCTCCACCTGCAGAGAGCTGAAGGACACGGAGAGAGACAAGAAACGCTGAGTGAAATGATATGAAAGCATCTTAGTGGCAGCCATGAGAAGAGGTGGTTGAAGTAGTAGTAGTAGTTTCGAGCTCTCTCACTGTCAAATCATCAAGTCCGTGGTGGCTCTGATGAGGGATTCTCATAAACTCACACATTTAAGCACTACATCTGTGACATCAGGTGGGTTTGCTTAGTGGGCTAAGGACGTCCAAATGCAATGGAAGGTGCTTTAAAACCTCCATTCTTATGTCTTTTAGAGGCAAATACACGAGGATGTGTAACCATGTCAGTACAATTTGAGCCTCTTAGCGCTGTCTTTTCCCGTGTCCTTATAAATTCACTTTTACATGTTTCCTTGACCTCATGATGGAAAAGTGTTCAGGAAAAACAACGGGACACAGTTTCCACAGAGGAAGCATGTTCTCACCCACAGAGCCCCGAGCCGGCCGAGTGCAGTTTGATGACGTGAACTTCGGGGTTGGATGCGGCGGCCGGCGTGCCGCTGCAGCCCTGCACCTCCTGCTGCTGCAGGTCAGAGGTCATGTAGTTGTGGGAGAGGAACATGGACTGCAGCTGGCACACAGCGGGCAGCGTCAGATCTGTGACATGGAGACAAAGCGAGAGATGTTTTGAAGTTAGATCGTCCTCGACAGTCCATCAGCTGAGCTTCATGTTATGTCTGGTTGGAACAGACACAAGAGGAAATAGAACGGCCTGAGTTTTAACCCACAGAGTCCAGAGTGAAGACGTTTAGCTTCATCATTAACAGGTAAGACATAAAGACATAATTGAACTTTTTTGCAAATCTCATAGAAGTTCTCATCCCATCGATGCTGGTTTCATGGCGGCTCACCCTCTCCCAGGCGGAGGTAAACTCGATTGCCGTGCGTTGTGTGCGTCAGAGAGGACAGGTTGCCGTGGTGCTTCAGAGCCCAGCGGTGCAGCGCTCGGGGCCGGAAAGGTAACGAATGCACCGACTGGACATGCAAACGGAGGGAGAGGGACTGTACGCTGGAGTTTCGGGATACCTAGAAGACGAGGACAAAAAAAAAGAGCCCATTAATATTATTACTTTTAATCTTTTTAACACGTCCATATGTCTTATATGATAGAAGACATGTTGTCCTTTGTGCTCTTTGGTTCTCTGCGCTTTACTTTTTTCTGCCTCCATCACCTCACCCCAGCTGGTCGAGGCAGATGTCCCCGAGTAGGTTCTCACAGGACGTTACTTCCTGTACAAGATTTCTTTTTCCCTTTCCTAGTCACCAAAATACTTCTTCAAATTAAGCTCTTTATCTTTCTGTAAGGGCTGCAAGGTGTCTCGGTGGCTAGCACTGTTGACTTGCAGCAAGCAGGTCGCTGGTGCGGACACCCAAGACGTCTTGGAGTTTGCATGTTCTCCCCGTGCAGCGTGGGTTCTCTCCGGGTTCTCCAGCTTCCTCCCACAGTCCAGAAACATGCTGAGGTTAATTGGTGATTCTAAATTGTCCGTAGGTGTAAATGTGAGTGTGCTTGGTTGTCTGTCTCTAAGTGTAGCCCTGAGATTACTTGTGTTGTAAATTGATGCTACATAAACTAAAATGAATTGAACATCCTGAGAGAAATAAGCAATGAAAGTCTCAAAAACACAGATCCAGACTTCCAGAGTTTCCTCCATAACGAACCTCAAGAACTTGTCAGCTTGCAGGGTGGGACTTTCTGTATCATTGTTCTTCCTTAAAAATCAGTTTCCAGCAACATGTTTGGCTAAATTACTCCAATATTCCGACTTGCCATTTGGTGGCAAGTGTTTGAGTCATCGGTGAGCTGGTGGGGACCAGTTCACATATTCATACATCTGTGCATAATTAGGTTTGTAAAGATGTAGCGTTACATCTCAGCCTTGGTCATAGTGTCTACATGTCGACACAAAGAGAATGAGTTAATGCCAGGAGATGAGCTTGACAGTGATGCTCTGACCGACCTGCACCAGCACTGACAGGTTGGCCGGCAGCCTTTCAGCCTCCAGCCACCAGCTGACCGGGAGCTTGGAGCTGAGCACGAGGTAGACGGCTCTGAGAGGAGAAAGAGTCAAAGACAGAGGCTTCAGCAGCACCGTCACCTGTGGACAGGAGAGAAAATGGAGGCAATGTGGTCAATCTGTAAAGCCAGACGTCTGTCATGTTGTACTTCTACTTGTTTGAAACAGAAGAGAGGACGTCGTCTGGACAACCTGCAGGAGGAAGCAGGTACAGAAAATGGATGGATGCTCTTTAGACAGGAATTTAAAATATGACCACATGTAGGAAAAGGTTATTCGACAAGTCAAAGCCACAAATAAAGCCTTCTGTAAGAGTCATTAAAAGAATTCCTCCTTTTTGCTTCCTTTCCTCTTTATCTGACCACATCATGTTGTTGTACCGTATTTATTTACACAAAACAGCTCATGACTAACTTCCATGTGGTCCTAAATGAAGACCAGAGACGTGCTCTTACACAAAAGGATAATTAGTTCATGATACCATTGTTAGAAAACGTGAACTAAAGGCACAAGACACTGTAAAACGAAGAAGAGAATGTAAAGTTCTTCAAAGCTCCTAATGACCAAGCTTAACCCAGACGGCAGGTTGTGGTTCCTTCAGATCCTTCAGCTGTCAGGCTCTTCTGCTGAGGAACCAGCTTCCAGTTTGGACTCTACTTTCAAGATTTAAATGTTCCTTTTCAGTGGAGCTCTTGGTTCCAGCAACTCCGTTACGCTAGTCTGCCTGTAGGGCGGGTTTCCCATGATGCACTTCCTTTCTCTCCAGTAGTTTGTTTTCTCCTCTTTAGTTCATGGTTCTGAGATATGACCGATGTTTATTGTTCTCTTGTGTGCACTTTGTCAGTTTCTCTTTGCTATTCTTCTGTATCTCTGCTTCCCCTTCACCCCAACCAGTGGAGGCAGATGGTCGTCCTAACTGAGCCTGGTTCTGCCAACAGTACTCCTCAGTGCTTCAGTAGAAGATAACCAGACCTCTTTTATTATGTCCGTTTGCCTTCTGTTGAAGAACTTTAAGAACTTGCAGTCTTCTGTTTTCCCTATTTATATTGAATACAGAGCGTACATACCTCGCCTCTTCATTCATAGTTGTGTTTTCTTGTTTTTCTTTCCGTCACTTTGCTGCTGTGACGTCACAAATTTCATCTTGTGGGACTAATAAAGGGTAATCTATGCTATTCTTACTTTACAACGATCTGGATGAGCGAGAAACTACGGTTATTCTTCCTCTTAAAAGAGAGTTTTGTCGTCCAAAGTGCTGCTTAAACAGAATCTTTGGGGTTTCTCGCCCTAAGATGCAATGTGGAGCTACATGATTAAAATGTAATAGCAACTGATTACAGCTGCGTTTTCTCAGTTTTGTAAAGTTTACACCTTGTTTGAGCAAAGACCTAAAGTTCTGACTCTTATCAGAAGTCACTCTTAAGGATTTGGAGTCTTTCCTCCTCTTTCTAAAGTGATGCTCCATCAGTTACCTTGTTTTCGGGGCTGTTTGTGACTCTTCCCAATGCAACCACATGAGTCTCTTTGCTCCCACGTTCACTTGCAGCGCAGCCCGGACCTGCCTCAAACCTCTCCAGCAGACCCTGAACAGGATGCTGCGGCCCGACCGAACCGGCCGCCGGGCATCGCTGCTCTGTGCTCCGAGCTGAGGAGGAAGAGCAGATACAGGACTGTGAGGTGTGACGAAGCCCAACCCTGAAAGAAATCTGTTCACTGATATTCCTCGGTGTGAAATAACTGACGGCATGAGTGAGAACGATCCTCTGTTTGTACATGTAGGCTCTGCTGAGTCAGCTCTCATGAATGTCTTGCCGTTGTCTTGTTTCTTTCTCTTTGTGATGTGTGGGACACACAGTAGTCTGGTCTTTCTGCATCTGTTTCAATCCTTCCCTGAGGGGGTTGGGAAATTTCCCAGACAAAACTATTTAACATGTTTCGGTTTCGTTCTGACACTTTGAAGACCTTTGACTTGCAGGCGGCGGAAATATGCCGTTTGGTGCTTGATGCAAACATCCTCGTAACAAACACATCACTGTTGTTGGTCTGACTGTAATGATGCTGGAAGTCCTGCTGGGTTCTGATGGTCTCACCTGATGGCCTCTCGGAGAGCAAAAGGAGGCAGCAAACGGTCCATCCAAGCCCCGACAGTGAAGGCATCATGAAAGGTTCCCCACTGGACCGACCTAAAGCATCCTACAAACACAGTTAGACATGAAGACGTACAGTTGATTTGTGGTTTCTATCAGTCAGTTTCACTTTGGACAAATGAGTCTTCATAGTACGCAGCACCATGAGAACTGTTTAGCACAACACGCCAAGGCAGCAAAATGATCGAGTCATTCATCTCATTAGTGGAGCTGCAGCATTTGGTTGAATAATCAATGATGCTTTTCTCTGTCCTATATGATTGTAAATAGATTATCTTTAAAGTTAAAACAAACAATCATAATATATCATCTCTACAGAGGGGAAATTAAACAGGTTTTAAAATTTTTTAGCCATTTTCTGGCATTTCACAGGCAGTGATTGCTCATGTTGAACCAAACTTATTCATATGGATGAAAACTTGTTAAAACGTCATAAGAACCAAGTCAGAGCTTTAAGACACTAAAAATATATCGTCAGAATTATGAATACAACATAATTTCTCTAATTCAGTTCAGTCATTTTACCATTCTTAAATGGGAAACTTGACTTTCAGTCACGGACACGAACAAAAACTAAAATCCAAAGTGTTTACTGTACATCTAATGAACAGAACACAACATTACTGGACTTTAAATGACAAAAACACATCAGCACACAAACACACCTGCTGCAGGTTCCTACATGAGCCCCTCCTCACGTCACAGACTTACTCTCATCTTACAACATTGATCTCATCATTTGGACTTCAGTAGAAAAAAAGTTTAATACCTAAACTTTGCTTTTACTACATATTATTGTAAATATGCAGATTTTTTTCCCGTTCAAATCAGAAATGAGCTCACATAAGTTAAAATGTGCATAAATATCAGTCAGGATACTGATCAGTTCAAAGAAAAGAAATAAATCTATGCAAGTCTCCACTGTTTCATAAACTATGTACAGCTCTAAAGCAAAATGGGGAAAAAAATCAGTTAAAAATAAAGGTCACAATTAATTTTATTTATTTTATTTACAATTTCTTAGATCTAAATTTCTATATTTGTTCCTGTCTTGTTATTGTTGTGGACCAGTTTCACTCACCACGCCTAATTCCTTCTGTGGTTGAGCTCACTTGGGAATAAAAAGCTTTCTGATTCTGATTCTGTAAAAACAGTGAAAATTCTCCCAAATCTGTAAATAAATAAACACATTAAAAACTTAACAAATTGCTGATTTGAACAGATTTTTACAGTAAAACTATGTAATTTTTGGTCACACACTGGAAAAGTAAAAACTACCACTTATAAAAATATAGAATTTTGATGCAGACATTTACATCTGTGGCGTCTTTAATATAGATTTGTTTTACAGTTAACTTATAAAGTATTATTTTTCCTGTAATTTTACTGTCTGCAATTTCTAAACAGCAGTAAATTGTTCACCAAAAAATCCAAATAAAAACTATTTTTAAAACAATTTTCATTTCTTTCAGAGTGCAAGATGCAAAACAATCTAATTTTCCAACTATAAAAAAATAATCTACCATAAAGTTTGTACTGTTCTCACCATGCTGTTATCATAATAACTGAGCTGGAGCTGGCCTTACTCTATATTTGTCTTGTCTAAAGTCCAGGACCCGGACTCTTTCTCCTCAGCTGACTCTTTGCGAACATGAGAGTAGAAGTTGGACTCACCTGCGGCGCTCCGGCGCAGAGGGACACTCTGCTGATCCAGCTGTTGCTTCAGGCTTCTCTCCGAGGGCTGGATTCACAACCCAACACACGCCCACCTCATTTCCTAAACACACAACCCCGCGGTCACGCACGCCCTCCACACGCACAACTGCGCAAAAAATATTACTCCGCTCTCTGCTGCGCGTCCCGTCACGCGTCCTCATCCAGCTGAGGAGCGACTTGTGGCGAATATTTCTCAGAGGAAATTCATTTTACGCACCGAGTGGGACTGAAGGGGGGGAGCGAGTTGTAAAGGAACAATTAAAGGGGCAATGGGAGGGACTGTGGGATGGTGTGACAGAGTGGAGAGAGGGATGGCGAGGAGAGGAATAAAAGGCTTTGGAAACGTCTTCGTGCGTAGATGGCAACAGGAGGGAGGACCGGAGGGAGAGAAGGAGGGAAGAGGAGGGAAGGAGGAGGAGGAGGCCGGACCTCAGGAGTTTGACTGGCAGGTGAAAAGTGAAGGAGATGGGACACCACACATTTATGATGCCCCCTCTGAGGCTTTGGGGCAATAAAACCATTTTGTCCATAGTTCTGATTTTGAGTTAAGATGCTGCAAAAACATTCTCCTCCAGGCCAACATGGTTCTACATTTCCATAGAAAGCATATTATAAAATCTGCAGCTTCATTTTCTGCA